GTAGGAAAAAAATTGAAAATCATTTATCAAAGCTATATGCAACAATGAAGGTACAATTTAAAAAACTCAATAATAACAAAAGATCAATGCAAATGCCTATTCTAAAGAACATCTTCAATTCTACATTGGTAATTAAGTATGGTTATTTTGTTATTATATGAAGGTTATTTTTCTTTACAACAAGATGAATTATTGTAGACTATAACCACTTTTTATTTGTAAATATATTAATTCAATTTCTTATTGATTACACCTATCAAAGCCTATGAAGATTCATTCTATATTCTATGTGATTTTTTTTAAGCCATACAAGACAGTGGATATACTATAAAAATAAATAAATGAATAAATAAATAAATACCACCTCCTTCTATAGAAATAGATAATAATCAAGAATTTGAAGTTAAAGAAGTTTTAAACTTAAGACAAAATTAAAATAGTTAAAAATTTCTTGTATATTAGAGTAGATATGATATTAGTGAATGTACATAGATATCAATCAAAAATCTTACAAATACAATGAAAAAGTTTATACTTTTTATTGACAACATCCATCAAAACTAAGATGAAGAGTCAAACAATTTATTGCTATAAAGAAAATAAAATTTAGTAAATATTATAATTTATCTTCTATTATTATTTTTAGTTTTTATATATTTTTAGAACTAAAAAGAAAAAAAAAATCAATAATCAATAGATTCAACTCATAAGCTATTATTTATTGACGCATTAATCAAAGAATTGAGATGTTTAGAGCTTTCAAGATAAAATAATAGAGATGAAGATTGTTAAGAATAACATATACTTCTTCAAATAGATTGTGAAATATAATATGTTTGATATCACAAACTTAAAAGAAATTCCTAATATTTGGTGATATAATTGGAGATATAAACCACTTTTAATGGTATTTTAAATATTTTATTTGTAAAAAGTTACAAAGGTTTTAACAATGATGAAATAATATAGTGGTCTTTTTTTTTGTTATGTGACACTATTAATGGTTGAAAGGACGTAACAACTACCTTCAAAGTAAAAAAAATAAATAAATAAAGTATATTACAAATATAATTTGTCATAACTTGGACTTAATATGTGATCATTGTACTTTGTGAAACTTGTCTCCAAAAGGAAAAATTATATTACAAACATATATATTTATCTAGATTAAAAGAATTAAATAGAAGTAAATAGAAATAAATTAATTTAATAATTTTTTATAAAAAAAATCTTCTTAAAAGCCTCATAAATTTAGGTTTTATTTTATACATGTTTGTAGGTATTGGTAGGTTGAAAACTTAGCCAAAAAATTGGCCATGTGTTGTACATATTACTAATTTGTGAAACAAGTTGGCCATATGGCCCACATGTAAAAAGCTTATCTTATAAGTTAGACACATATTAAAGGTTCTACAAAATATTGTCATGTATCTAATAATTAGATAATATACATAGAAGAAAAAATGATGTATTTTTTACTCTTATCAAAAACTTTCTTGTTCTTAGTCTTATTTCAAGATTTTCTTGTCTTTTTATCTTTGGCAATAGCCATTTTAATTTTGATGTTACATTATCTTTGAAAATGAAAATTCTATTTGAATAAGAGAAGAGTATATTGAAGTTTTAATTAGTTGTAATTTATATCCTTGATACCAATATAGGAATTTAAAATATAAAATAAAATATTTATAAGAAAATAAATAAATATAAGTATGGCTATAAAAAAAATGTAGTAGCCTTATAAATTTATGTAATATTTTTTAAATTTTTAATAAATAATTAAATTACTTAGTATTTATTTAGATTATTAATATATTCTTAAGAGATTAATTCCAATCAAATAAGTTTTTAAATTTTGTTTATAGTTGTTATAGCTAAAATACTATATATTTTGATAATCCCATTAGAAAAAATATATTCTAATTAACAAGATGTTATCAACCTAGAAGGCTTGGAAGATTTTTTAAATGAATATATCTTTACAATTAAATAAATATTTTCTTTGTGTTTATATTTTATATTTAAGCTTAATGTTCTAAAAAGTTTATGCAATCATCTAAAAAGACAATATTATAATCAATTGATTTGTATTCCTAATATTGATAAAAATTATGTTAATTCTTGAGAATATAGTATTATAAGATTAAGTAGTCATCTTATTAGTGTTGTTCTAAAGTAAAGTTACTAATTTGAATTAATGCATTTTGATAATTGATTGATCTATCAAATAATAAACAAGTCTTTTTTGAAATACTTATTAGAGTAGATCTAATTTGTTTATTGTTACTACTTGAAAGCTTTGGATGCAAAAAAATAAAGACTATTTGAGGAATTATATTGATTATTAGGTAATATAGTTTTACTAAATTTAAACCAAGTAATTTATTATTAACAATTAAAAGAATCACATATATAGAAAAATAAAGATTATTTAAGACAATCTATATTATTGATGTATGATTCTATTTCTATTAGGTTTATACCAATCAATATGATTTGAAGTATGTCTATGCTTTAGAGACAAGTACATGTATTGTTAACTTAATTCCATTAGAACAAGTTAAATTATTGTCTAAATTTTCATAGTTGAAAAATTGCGTCTATGTATTTGAACATTGTAAGCAATTAACTAAGTGAGTTGGTGGAAAAAAAAACTAATTCTACACTTAATATACATAAAGACATGATTAAATTCATCTTTAATATTGCTAATGGTTTTTTGGTGTTTGAAGAATTTCTAATTTCTTTACATTGTGAAATGGCCATTATAGTTCTTTTTTATCTTAAATTTATATTTTTTATTTACTCAATTTATTTTTATTTTTATGTTTTCAGAAATACATGAAAATATAGAAAATTATTGTCTTTTTAAAGTCATATTTAGATTCATGTGCTTGACATTCTATGTTTAATGCATTTCTACCAATTTTTGATGTCCTTGTGGCCAAAAAGACTTTTATCTCTACTTCATTGTCAAGTGCAATGAATTTCACATACATATAAATGTTTTACTCTCTACTTAAATTTTTTTTCAATTTTAATTATGTTCTTTTGGAAACTAAACATTAGTATGATAACTAATTTATGGGATTTACAGTATCTTTTTTTTTTTTATTTTATTTTCCCAGATGTCCTTCTATCATTCTCAAAAGAACTTACACAAATATTACTTGACCTGCCGTGTCCAATTGTAGTAAATAAGAAGGAACTTTTTGATCCCATATTTCTCAATATTCAAATATAGAGGCAGTGGAAGGTAGCAATAATTCTATCTTGTAATTCTATAAATGCAATTGAATGTAATGCCTCTTACATTATGTCTTCTATGTTTTTTTAGTTTACATATCCATAGCAATGAGACTTTTAAGGCAAGTTTATGTGTTTTTCTTTCTTTAAACACATTAGTAAAATCATGATGATGATTGTTCATCCATATTATTTGATTCTAGTACTATGTATGGTAAATCTTTTGAACTTTATTATCTTTTTAATAACACTCATTGATATTCATTACATCAAAATATATCATATAAGCCTATACATACATACATACATACATACATACATATATAGTAACTGATTAGAAAATAATACTCCATCCAATTGCATTGATGAAGTCTCACTTGTATTTATAATTAAAAATTTATGAAAAAAATTACATATTATATTTCTGCTACCAAAGTAGAAATATAATATTTTTTTGAATGTTATTTAGTAGTTGAATATTTTTTAATTATAAATAAAAAGTTATCATCTAAATTATAATACTTTATGCTTTATACAAACACTTGTGGAGGAATTATAATGTATGCATAAAACTAGGCTATGTATCTAAAAACATGTGTTTCCACATATCATAATGCCCAAAGGTTTTATTTTTATTTTTATTTTTATTAATAGATAACTTTGCTCTTTATTCTATTTTCATTGCTTTATACTTTCTAGTTTCTGGACTAAACTTAGATAATGTAGCTATTATTAAGGAAAAAGAAAAGGAAAAAAAAAAAAAAAAAAAAAAAAAAAACTCCCAATTTGTATCTTAACCATCTTCACCTCAACACTAACAACAAAATGTTTACACCATGTATATAGTGCACATTTAGGTAGAAGTACATAGCATCTTAAAAATATGATTTACTTTAAACACGTATTATTTTAAGAAAAATAAAACATGATAATATAAGCATTATCTAAATAAACTCAGAATGGATTAATGAGAACAAGATTCAATTTAACACATTAAATACAATTGCAAAGTCATTGTTCTGTTTTCAAAGTGCTTTCAATCCTAAGATTTTTAATATTCTGTATTTGAATATATATATATATTTTTTTGGAACCAAATTGTGATTACTCCTCCTGTTGTCTTATAACGTATCCATTGTCCATATTTTATACATGCTTTTAATTGTGTTGTGTGGATTATCTATTGTTTTATCGACGAAATTCTCTAAAGAAAGTACTAATACACCACTTATAATTTAAAAATTACATTAAAATAAAAATAATGTTATACTTTAACTCATTCAATTATTTTCTTTTTATCATGGGTTCCGATTATGTTTCTGAACATATCCAAACCAACGGGTAACTAGTGGCCACGATTTGACGGTGGAACTCGCACCAAAAGCCCTCATCGTGGCGGGAAATTTACCTCAACGAACAGAGACGATGAAACATCCGCACGCAAATCGAGCAGTGCAGTAAAAGCAATCCGATATGAACGAAAAAGAGGCGGATGAAAAGCGAGCATTTCCCGCGCTTGGTCGCTTGATCCCGCGAATTTCGATTTTAACGCGAGGGTCACGAGGGCCGTCGATCGGGGGGATCAATTGCCCATCGAGCCGTGGGATGAATCTTTCGTCTCGACCGCCAGATATAATTCATCCAGAGCGTCTATATTTTCGTTCGTTAGTTCGTTCGTTCGTTCGTTCGTCGGCGAGGGGACCGAACTGGGCGAGGCCGAAGAAGCTATTAGTGCCCGAAGAAGAATGGTTTCCATTGTGTGAGAGACCTATGGACACATGACAACCCATAAACCTTCATCGCCAATCCGCGAGGATTTTCCGGGCCATCACACGCGGAGTCGACATTCGTGCGCTACACATGTGGCGGAATCCGCGTTTTCGGCTGAATTTGGGCGGTATTTGAAGTCGGAGCCCGTTCCAGTTCAGGTCTTGGTGGTTGTATTCGCAAATTTCATTTTGCGAGGGGTTGTAGTTGTTGTGCCGGTTGGGATTCATGGGTGGTGAATGGCTGCCGGGTTGGATGGAGGTTTGAGATTCGAGGTGAGATCGCTGTCTATCGTGCAGCAGGTGGTTGATTTGAGTTTCTGTTTTGGCTTTTGAGTGCCCCCCATTTTCGTGCTTGGTACGACTGGATGGCTGTAGAAAGTTTTGGGTTACAACTTATCTTCATTTTCGTGGATCTGGAGTGTGGTTTGGGGCGGTTTGCGGATGTTTTCTACATAATGAGTTTTCTTTTTTTGGGGGATGACCTATTGGGACAATCTCATAGCTTCGTGCTGTCTGATCTGATGGAGATAGGGATTGAAGCATTTGGGCATCAGTTTATTTGGATCTGTTGTGACGGTGTAACGTTTGAAAAAGCCCTGAGCTTACGAAGATGGTGCTGTTCGGCGCATTTGGGATTCTTGAGCTGGTTTTCTGATAGTTGAGAGTTTAGATGATTTGTGAATCTGCTTGAGAGATTCCGAGCTCCACATTGGGGGTTGGGGTTTTGTGATTCGCATTGCTCACACAGCTTATGTAACAGGGCATCAAGCGTAGGACATTGGCAAGGAGATGATGTAGGCCACCTGTCTTGGAGATCAAATATCGTTGGTCATTGATCCTATTCTGTCTTTTCGAATCGATCAATTTTACTGTGTTGAGCGTTGGCATCATCTTATTGCAGAGGAGCTGGACATTTCAGGGTAAGGGACGTTCTCCGGGAATGTAGGTTTCAGCGGAGGAAAGTCTACTTCGAGTTATGAGCGAGGGTGATGCGTTACGTGCAATGCACAGACGACATTATATAACCTTCGATCTGTAGGCGATGATGTACCTCATTCCAGATTCAGTCGCAACTAAGCAACTCTCTGGTAGCACAGAATCTCCATCTAAGCCATCTCCATCTAAGCCATCCCCATGTAAGACTTACCAGTCACCAGCTGATGCATCTAAAAGTCCATATTCTAAGAGTCCTGCCTCCAGCAGACGACGCTACTACTCGTCAGATGAAGAGGATGACAGCAGAGACAGGCAATCTCACTGGAAGCGGATTAAGGTTCGCACAGATGACAATCCTAAATCGAGTTCCAGGAACAGGATCACATACACCGAGAGTGATCGACGTAGCTATGCCACATCTCCCACCTTTAGAAGACCGCAGGGTCCCTCCCGGAGTGTAAATCCTCTTCCGGGACCTAGAGTGATTGTATTGAAGAGAAGCTTGCATGAGAAAGATGTAGGGATGCGTCGCAGCAGCTGTGAATCTGAAGTAGGGATTCACGGAAGCGGAAGCAAGGGATGGGATGTGGCCGTGAGATCCTTTAGGGATGGTGGGACCGCATCCAAGGACATTGATCCCGTAGGTACCAAGAGGAAGTATGAGACGGAGGTTAGGAAGAGCAGCATGATGATGCTTGAGCAGAGTATGGTGATACGGGAGAAGCATATGGCAAGAAGGGTCCCTATAGAGAGAGAGTTTGAAGGAGGGTACGAGTTTAGGGTTAGTGGGAGGGAGGTGGGGGAGTTCAATGGTGAGAATGGTTCAAGCCTTTTCTTAGAAGATTCTCGTCAGTTTAATTATGAGGACAGTGAGAGGCCGAGGGTTGGTCTGGATTTGCGGGAGGCTTTGAATCGCAGGAGTCGGAGGTTGGACTCCATGAGCAGAGAGATCAGGGGTTACGGTGATCAAAAAAGCGAGCCGGCTGTGAGGGTTAAGAAAGTGGAGTTTGATGTGAGCACTGGTAACGGTAAGGGGAGTTTGGGCGCTCTCCAGGGATCCGGTGTGAGGAAAGTACTGGATTTGGGCCGTAGTTCCCGCTCAGGTAATGACGAGAGCAAAAGTTTCGCTCTTGGTGGGATTAGTCACTCGACGGCGGACGTAGGAACGAAGGTGGAGAGGGATATGGAGTCGGAAAGACGAGAGAAACGGGAACGTTGGGCTGAAAAGGAGCGTGATTTGGAGAAGGAGTTGCAGGAAAAGCTGCAGAAAGAATTGGAGAAGGAGAACATGCCCAGACCCCAGCCGAAGCCTGTGGCGGTTGTGGACTACAGCCACAAGTTCACTGTTGCGAAAGCCCCCATCAGTAAGTCATTCTCCCTGCACCCAATTCTCCCACTTCTCATCTACGATTGTAGATAATCTAGTAAATCCAGAGTTGGCTCATACACAGAATCTTCGAAGGCGAGTCACGTCTGCCATTCTGCCGATTGTGGCGTTCATGCGCACGTACAAGGGTTTGTGAAACTATTCACGCCTCGCTTCTTCGTCTGCAATGTGGTAAAAAGGAAACCTTTCATTGATATTACCCTGAAGACCCATCACCAGATTTGTTCTGCGGTCCATACGACCTTCCCATTTCTCAATGAAATGGTCGGTGCTTTTCAAAGCACAACATGCGTGCTAGTGTTATACATTCAGATAACGAGCGTGATATCGGTTTCTATCCCCCGACTTCCGGAAACTCCTGGCGAAGAGAACATGGTTTTATTTTTGCATGGAAGAGTATGCTTCTGTTTGGTGGACTATTGAGATTGGACAGATGCAGTTGCTAGCTGACATAAATGTACATTACAAGCGCGAATGGATGTTTCTCCTAGTGACTGAAATGCATATTTATGTGCAATCAGGGTTTTACTCAATCGCAAATGAAACTCTTTCTGGGCCTCAAATGTAGGTCCTCGTAGAGTGATAGCCTGTAAAGTGAGATCAGTCATCCGACAGTTAGTGAATGTCTTTTCCTTCTTTATGTCGCATTCTTTAACCTCCAAATTCTTGGATTTTGGAGATGCTTTTTCAGCTTTGGGCTTTTGTAACTTTGAACGGTCATGTTCAATAGTTGAGATATCTTTTTTGGCATCCGGTTCAGCCTACTGCCTTTACCGTTCTAACAAGGCCCTGCATATCGCGAGTAGCGAAATACGAACATACTCCTATGTTTTTGTATCCTTCTTTGGATCCTCCATCGCGAATATTTTATTTTCTCGTTCTTCAATGTCTTGGTTGCACAACAGGGGTTCAATTTTATTTTTTCCCGACGAGGAGAGGCCACGATATTTAGCACGTCATGTTCAATTTGCAGGTGCGCCAACTAAACAAGTTGAAATGGACCCTCATCGACTCTGTCAGCGGCAGAAACAAATTGATTACGGAAAGAATACGCTTGGATATGAAAGATACATAGAAATGGTTCCAAGGTAAGTTCCTCACATTTGAAAGCAGTCTACCTTAATACATGGAACACCTTCAGGTGAAAATTGTGCTTAGATCTCAATTGGGTGGTGGTTCTCCGTTGCATGAATTCAAGAGACTCGGAATCAGAACCATTTTGTTGCTTAGAAAAATACATCCTTGGCATCGGCTCGTGCTTCTCTGCAGGAAATAACCATGTTGGTTCCATTCATTTGTTATTGCAGGTATAAACGAACCAAATCACATCCTCGAACACCTGACATAAGACAGGTGTGTAGTAAACGGAGCTGGGATGGCCAGATCCGGAAATGGCGTCGTTTGTTACATGAGTACGATCCCCCAAAGGGGGAGGATGAAGAAGATTCTGATCAGGTGTTCGTTCCCACCAGGGACCTTGACAACGTCAGAGGATCTCACCCTGGCGACGATATGATCGACATGCAATCAGATTATGTTGAAGACACAGACATGAAGATATACGATGGGTGGTCTGACGAAGAATGTTAGTGTGCATTAATGTTTTTACCGTCCCTCAACCCATTCAACGAAAATGTGCAAGCTACCAATATGCTCCTGGTTTTGGCAAAGCTTTGATAAGAAGTGGTGGGGTTCACAATGGCTCTCCATTTCTTGGCGTAAATCTTTCTTACAGCAGCATTTCGACCATTCTCAGACAAATCTGAACTGCAGATGATGCTCGAGTGCACAATGGAAACTGGCATGTAGCCTATTTTCTTGGAGGATGTAGTAGTCTGGCATATTTCTTCTTGCCTGCGATCATCAACACAGGTCTGTTGTGAATGGTTCTAATGAATTTTAGAAGCTCTTAATTGGAGTGCCAAAGCTGTACATTTCACTGGTTCTCTTTGCTTCGCCATCTCAGCTTCAGATATGGCATTTGTTGCGGAGCTCTTAATAGATTCCTGACAGTCAATAAGATGCCAAGGAAATTCCATATTTGAGTACAAGGCATACTTCTTTCTTTGTAGTATGCATGCCAGTCACTGTAGACTGTCCTTGTATGTAATAAAGCGAGTCACTCTTCTGGTGATAACATGTTAAATCTTCAATGAAGCAGCTTGCCAATTCACCATTCGAATAGTGATTACTGGTAATCGCGTCTGTAAGGATCTAGCCGAATACTATTCTGCTGACCAAAGGTAGAACAGGATTACTTATTTGTGCGCGAACACCTACCCGTCTCTGCTAATTATTCAGGAGCACATTAATTATTATCGATGTCTACTTTGCCGTTACGAGTATGCCAATCCCCTTTTGTTACCTAATCTGCGTCAAATCCATAATAGTTGAGCTTGGGAAAATTGGTTAACATGTTGCCCACAGCGGTCTCTACGTTTCTGTTAAATCTCATGATTTCTGTTAAGTTATGTTCTGTTAAGTCTCATGATTTCTCATGTCCTTACATTGTTAAGCTGTTTCCACTTTTATGCACTGCCGTCAGGCCAAGGGAAGCAAATTGAAACTTTCTGACCAAAACTAAACGATCATGGATTGTGTTGGACTTTCCTGCAGCAGATACTGAAATGTGGAGGACTTCATTACCTTCACTCTCGTGGGAGTTGAAGGAAAATGAGAAATTTTGTTGTGGGGACTTGGTGTATCTGGCAAACTGAGACCTGGGCTGAATACGGGAAAGCTGTCCATACGAATCATTAGGAAGCTGCTGTTGATCGCCACTGTTCACAGATCTGTGGACACATCGATGTGGGATGAGATGGACTCTTCAATGGCGAGCCTACAACTCCCACGCAAGGTTCGTATGAAGGGAGTTAAGCGCCCATCAATTGAAGTCCAAATTGGACCAACAAATTCCGTCTTTGCGTAGAACGACCCTGTCTCCGTTTGCGAAACCCCATCAATCAACACACACGATTTAATATCCCGCCCCGCATAGTCATTGTGTTCAACAAATTCCCGAACACACCTTATCTCTCTTTCAATCACCGAACAAAGTCTAATCCCCTTTCCATGTGAGCCCCTGTCTCGAAGCCCGCGCTCGGCCCTCATGCAAGCACTGCAGTCCAAATACCAGTTTCCGACTGCACTCCATCTCGGCCGCGAATGCATCTCGCACTTCCTCGCAGCCCATACCTCCTCCACGCCACGATCCTTGCACATCGGGACTCACCCGATTCGCCTCCCCCACCTCACTCACTACTTTCAATCTCACCCACGACCCTGGCGCTTTCGTATCTCCTTTCCCGTATCCGTCAACTCTCGCATCCGAGCCCTTGAAGTCACAAAAAGCAAAATCCTCAAGACCTACTCCCAGCTGTGGATGGGAATTCCAAACCGAAGTGTTCACCTTTCCCAGCCGCGACGAGAATCCGTAAGAAGTCCAGCTCATTCATCAGATATTTTTGACCAGTGATTTCGAAGGGGGCGCCATCAGTCTCAGAATTTGAGCACTCTTAGCTCCCGGTTCCGTAGCCTTGCGCGTTTCGCACTAGGATTTCGCTCGCATCCCTCCTCGCAATCAGCATAGAACGCGAGACTCTTGGAGGTCTAAGAGCATCAAAGGAAAAGTTTAGGGGTGAGGAAGGCTGCCATGATGGCTGCTGCCGATGATCTGATCTGCCATGTCTGCTCTGAAGGACACAACAGCCAAAACTCTCCAACAAAAGCTCAAAAGGCTGGTGTCGATGCTCCTGGACCGAGGCGGCTAATAGCATGGGCGGTGGGACCTGACCCTCATGGACCGTGTGAAAGTCTTTCATATGTGGCGGAGTAGCAGCCCTTCAACCTCATTGAGCGGCATTTTGCTGACTTGGCTGGAATTCCTTTTGTCATGTCGCTGACGTCGTAGCAGTTCCTCGTGGCGTGCTCACTTGCAAGATGCTACAACCCACTTCACATGGTGTCCCATGCTCAAACCGATTTTTGAAGACTACTTGTTGGCCTCGTGAAAGCTACTCGGCTACACATGGAAAACACGTCAGAGGTGAAAATTTCTCATGTTCCCTGGGAACTTCAAGTGGGTTTCTGGCTCAGTCGGTTTAGTTGTTTATTGCATTTCATGAACTTTCTGAGTCTTTTCACTATATCTTTCAAGAGTGCAAAATATAATAAATAAAACTCGTGAATCAGTACAGTCAATTTGGTGACAAATCTACGATTTTCTCTGATTGTATAGGCGTACAGAAAATCCCTCATATTGTGGGATTGGTCCTACATTTGGATATAATTATCAAATCCTGAAACATGTGATGTCAGAGTGGCGAACTAAAAAACATAACATGTTGTGTGGAGTTGGTAAAGAAGTAGCAGAGATTTGGTCGATGTCATAGTTCTGCACAGAAACAACAGATAATCTGGGATTTTCTGCAACAAATTTCAAATTTTGACGTAAAGGATGTCGGCGTACAGTCTCCCTAGAATATCACTTCACATATTCAACCTTAACATTATGGAAGCGCTCTACTTTGTGTACTAACCGAGTAACAGACCCTGACATGTTTCCACATTTGGGTCTGAAACTTTTTAGTGGCGGTGCATCATCAGCAAGGCGCCAGGCATGACTCATTCCACCACATTAAGGTGACACTCGCGCCTGTTACCGAAATGGAACACGTACTGTTCTTTTTCATTGTCGGCTCCTGCTTTGACTTTCATGATTTCCACTTGAAAAGCGCCACAGGATTTTCACTTCTCGAGACGGGCGCTACAGCAGCTGCGGAAGCAGCAGGGGCGATATTTGCAGTAACTCCAGGCATCTAAGGAATGACAAGTCTGCATTCATCCAGACATTGTTTTAGGATTTAAACTTGGACATAGCCAACAGTCTGAAATACAAATTTGAGTGTTAAAGTCGGCTACAAGGGATCACATTGGTGTTCAGATTTCCACGGACTGATAGAGTGGGAGTGTGGGGCGGAAGGGACCAAAGACTTCGAAATCCAGATTGTAAACCTGTCGCATGCATGAAACAAAGTCAATTGTTTCTATCACAAGCTTCTACTAGAGGAATATTCCGAATGGAAGATGGTCTGCTCCAGCTTCTATCATTGACCCTACCCACATGGTGCTGTTACCCTGTCCAGATTCAATCAACGTGAACAGGATATATAATTGATTGTTCCACGAACCAGTAAGGACACATCAAAAACTGTTTTCAGATTTTTTTTCACCAAGTCAGGAAGAAAGCCTCGATTATCAAGCTTAATTACAGTTAAAACTCTACAACAAACTTTTAAGCGGTTCAGGTCAGTTCGGAACAGGAACCAAAGTCAGTATGATCTAGAAGCTTGTCAGATAACTGCTGCTATACGTACTTGGACGTTATGCTGCAACAAGTGCGATCTTGGGATTATTAATTTATTATTATTTTGAGATTTCAGTGTTACTGCTCTTCGACCGACATCGTCAGAAATCTGCCATGGAAATGCTAGAGGATCAAATGGCTGTGTCGTAGCACACAGTTTCAGCTTGAGATGATGAGGAGCAAAAGTACACGTCACAGGCCACCGCACTTGGATGTGGCAAGGGTCAGTCTGAGCCTTAGATAATTCCATTGAACAGTTAAACCATAAAGCTGCACGCGAAGTTTGTCACGCGAATGCCCCGATAGCACCTTGATATTGCAACGTCTTCGAACAAAATTCGTGAGGTTTAGTCGTTTCTCGAAGTCCTCCACAGAGCCCCTGCTGCGCATCCACATGCTAGTGTCTACACATCCACCAATGAGAACTGATTTCCAAGTGGGCAAGGCGCTTCGAGACGCGTGACAAGAAATGATAAACATGACAGTGGGGCAAGAATTACCAACGAATCAGAGGGACTGTACTCCCACGATACTAGTAACTGCAAGCTGCAAGGCAATATTTCTGCATAAGCACCTACACCACCACAATGCCAGAGAAAAGCCCAGAGAAAGAAGATTGGAGAAACGCAATCCCAGCAATTGACTGAGAGCAGGATTCGCACAACACCGCTCTGACTTCTGCACATTCTCTCGTAGAAGTGTGGTGCAGGTGCAGATGCAGGAACATGGCATTACAGCGCTGAAGAGGAGGCTCAATAGGGGCACGACGAAGTAAGACAACGCCGTCGTGGAAAGTGAGTCTGTTTGAACGGAGCTTTAAAAGGGATTGCTCCAATGCCACGGTTCTGCATAAGAACCCGCACCATCGAGTCGTAACTGTGAAACGATCACCAAGCAGAACACACAGCTTCATGCCCACTTTGGGTACAAAAAAAGTGTCATCATTCACATTAGAGCTTAGCATTTCGAAACTTTGGTGCAGGTGCAGATGCAGATACGTGGCATTGAAGCAGTAATGCAGGGGTAGCGGCAAATGGGACAAGTGTAAATTCACGGCAGTGTTTGATACGTAGCCAACAACAAAAAGTCTAATTACAGACAAGTATTCCAGGACATTAAAAAAGACACCGAGGAGGAAAGAAGGGAGGACGAAGAGGAGGCTGAGGAAGGTACGCAATCCACGTCTACAGGATGAAGCAAAGCCCACCTGCTCTCATGAACACTTCTATCTCGTGACGAGGTATCTATGCTGCAAGTGCACTGAGAGCAACTATCCAAGCACGATGGACCAGGGAATCCGACACCCATACTGAACGTTACAGCACGGAGGTGACAGGAATTGCACGACAGCACAGTGGGTCGTTATGACAACGACTTGGGATGTGGGCAATAAAAGTCGTGCTACAGGAGAGAATTTTACATAGATCGCTATCAGAGCACAGCAGTCTTATTCTGAATTCGATAGTGAAAAAGCTTTATTAATTTTCCACTGTAACGACGAGCCACAGTAACAAGGGTGGACACGGGATGTCACCTTGTCGTCACAAGGACCACATCATCAAGCAGGAGAAGCGAACTGAAGTACAAAACAATCAATGCGAGAGGAAACACGCATTGAATTCCTACCAATTACTTATTGCCCCCGGAAATTCAATTGACAGAATCCTCAAACGACCCGGACTGCGTTACCTATGGACGCGAGAAGGGAGAGAACATCAAACTACATTGAGGAAACTTTCCACCACAGCGCACAAAACTTAGTCAAAGGTTGACAAGTGCACAAGAATG